GATGTATATATGTTTTGTCTGTCACATCTCAGAAATAACAGTATTGTAAATTCTTGGGGTGTGATAGAGGCCCTTATGAAAATAAAAATAAAAATGAGAGCTTCAAGTTTAAAAGAAAATTTTTCGAACTTTGTGACACACTCAAGCTATCAGATAAGATATCACATCCGATGATTGTAAATAATTGTGACCTCTTAATACCAAAGGTAGGTGGTCTTATTGTATACAATCCCTTGTCCATACTATCTAAATCACACCCCTAACTCCAAAATTCTTTATTTTTGCAATTATCACTCAAGTAAAAAATGAAGATTTCTTAAAACGAAAATACCCCGGAGAAATTTTGGAAAATGGTTTGATAGGGCTACATATCAAAATAAGTAAAACCTCACCTCAATTGTAAATTGCAATTTCAAGTATTGGAAAAACTTAAACTTGATCATCTTGACTTCAATATTATGATTGTAAAAAATTTAGGATTTTTAAGCTGTAAAAATGGTTTATATTGTAAAAAATTATCTAGACCGTTCATTTATCCTTAACAATAAGTGTTCACATATCTGTGAAATCTATACTATTTTTTAGTTTCAAATTTTATTCTCGGTGTTGAATTTTTCTGATGCCAAAAATGCTTTCTGGACGAGGATTTGAGGTAAAGCTTTATTTTGTTTTTGTAAGGCACTTCTAGAAACTTCATCCTAAAGTTTTTATCTAAAAAAAAATCAAACAGGTCCCGCATAATGTGCAAGACTGGTGCACATTATGCTGGACAATGTTCAATTGCTCAGGCGAGCCAACCTGAACTCGCTTGAGTACCTCGGGAAAATTTAAAAAATATAAAAAAAGGAATTTATGTGTTATATGTCTTTTTCTATCGTTTTGGCAAAGATTGGAAAGTGCTTGAGCCATGAGTATTTGTTTTTATATTTTATGTTCTTTGTGGATTACTTTTAAAATACCCCTGGCCACAAATGGAGTTTTTCAAAATTCATTTTTTTACTTTATTTAATTTTACTTTACACATATTTTTCATATTTATTTTGATATTTTGTATTTTTTATTTTTTTTAACACTTTTTGTCCTTGTGAGCCCCTGCCCAATTGATGCCAACTAACTCAGAACTCAACTACTTGGGCTCGGCCAATGGCCGAGTTCCATCCCTAAATTGTGGTTGCAACACTGGTGGTGGACCAACTTTGTTTTACCAATGCGCCAATACTGTACAAATTGTGCTCGACTGGCTTCACTTACGAAAATAAATTCAATCTGGCACACACCAATATAATTTAATAAGGGATTGTATAAATTGTCTCTTTAGATACGTTCTCATTTAAAAATCTGACAACAGGGAGAGAAACGT